ACAGGCAGAACAAGAAACTTCGACTCCGACTATGTTTACACTGTACCTCTGCATTCTAGCATCTGACATGCCTAGAGCTATAGCAGATACGATCGCACTGACCATATAAGACGACTTCGAAGAACATATTACGAGAACATCAGGCAAGTGAGGAAACTTCGGCAACATTAGTCTGCACACTGTTTCTCTGTATTTCATCATCTCACATGGATACCTTTGAAGCACATCAGTTCGCAACGATCCTATGAGACGACATCGAAGCGAGGATAACGAACATAACAGGCAGAACATGAAACTTTGACTTCGACAATGTTAACACTGTACCTCTGCATTCTAGCATCTGACATGCCTAGAGCTATAGCAGATACAATCGCTTTGACCATATAAGACGACTTCGAAGGACATATAACGAGAACAATAGGCAAGTGGAGGTACTTCGACAACATCAGTCTGCACACTGTATCTCTGTGTTCTATCAACCCCCATGGATACCTCTGGGGCATATATGTTCGCAACGATCATATGAGACGACATCGAAGCGGGTATAACGTACACAACAGGCCGAACAAGAAAGTTCGACTTCGACTTTGTATACATTGTAACTTTGCATTCTAGCATCTTGAATGCTCATTCAAGAAGTATATATGACAGCCCATTATATGTGAGTGGAGTACTATACTTCTTCATATCCACCAAAAACTTCGATTCCAACAATCAAGAGTCGGTAAACCGGCGTGTTCGCCAAAACTTCGAATTTATCAATCTTGATAATAAGTCGGTTATACATCTTATAGGTAGACATTGTCTAGTGTTTCCTGAATCATCCTCACATGGAAACATCTGGAGCATATGGGTTCGCAACTATTAGATGAAAAGACATTGAAGCAGGTATAACGCACACAACAGGCAGAACAAGAAACTTCAACTTCGACTATATTCACACTGCAACTTTGCATTCTAGCATCCGACATGCCTATAGTTATAGCAGATACGATCGCACTGACCATGTAGGACGACTTCAAAGGACATATAACGAGATCAATAAGCAAGTGAAGATACTTCGACAACATCAGTCTGCACACTGTATCTCTGTATTCTATCATCTCACATAGATTCCTCTGGAGCATATAAGTTCGCAACGATCATATGAAACGACATGGATGCGAGTATAACGCACACAACAGGCAGAACAAGAAACTTCGACTCCGATTATGTTAACACTGTAACTCCGCATTCTAGCATCTGACATGCCTGGAGTTACGAAGGACATATAACGAGAACAATAGGCGAGTGGAGATACTTCGACAACATCAGTCCGCACACCGTATCTCTGTATTCTATCATCTCACATGGAGACCTCTAGAGCATATGAGTTCGCAACTATTATATAAGACGACATCAAAGCGGGTATAACGCACACAATAGGCAGAACACGAAACTGCGACTTCGACTATGTTTACACTGTAACTTTGCATTCTAGCATCTGACATGCCTACAGTTATAGCAAATACGATCGCACTGACCATATAAGACGACTCTGAAGGACTCATGATGAGAACAAGAAGCGAGTAAAGATACTTCGAAAACTCCAATCCGCACACTGTATCTCTGTATTCTATCATCTTACATGGATACCTCTGGAGAATATCAGTTCGCAACGATCATATGAGACGACATCGAAGCGGGTATAACGCACACAACAGGCAGAACAAGAAACACCGACTCCGACCATGTTCACACTGTACCTCTGCATTCTAACATCTGACATGCCTAGAGCTATAGTAGATACGATCGCACTGACCATATAAGACGACTTCGAAGGACATATTACGAGAACATCAGGCAAGTGAGGATACTTCGACAACATTAGTCTGCACACTGTTTCTCTGTATTTCATCATCTCACATGGATACCTTTGGAGCATATCAGGTCGCAACGATCTTGTGAGACGACATCGAAGCGAGGATAACGAACATAACAGGCAGAACATGAAACTTTGATCGACTATGTTTACACTGCACCTTTGCATTCTAGCATCTAACATGCCCAGGGTTATAGCAGATACAATCGCATTGACCATATAAGACGACTTCGAAGGACATATAACGAGAACAATAGTCAAGTGGAAATACTTCGACAACATCAGTCTGCACACTGTTTGTCTGTGTTCAATCAACCCACATGGATACCTCTGGGGCATATATGTTCGCAACGATCATATGAGACGACATTGAAGCGGGTATAACGTACACAACAGGCCGGACAAGAAACTTCGACTTCGACTATGTATACTTTGTAACTTTGCATTCTAGCATCTTGAAAGCCCATTCAAGAAGTATATATGACAGCACATCATATGTGAGTGGAGTACTTTACTTCTTCATATCCACCAAAAACTTCGATTCCAACAATCAAGAGTCGGTTAACAAGCGTGTTCGCGACAACTTCGAATTTATCAATCTTGATAATAAGTCGGTCATACATCTCATGGGTAGACATTGTCTAGTGTTTCCTGAATCAAAATAACTCTTACAACAGGGAGAGCAAGAAACTTCGACTATGTTTACACTGTAACTTCGCATTCTAGCATCTGACATGCCTACAGTAATCGCAGATACGATTGCACTGAACATATAGGACGACTTCGAAGGACATACATCGGGAACAATAGGCAAGTGAAGATACTTCGACAACATCAGTCCGCATACCGTTTCTCTGTATTCTATCATCTCACATGAATACATCTGGAGCATATGAGTTCGCAACTATTATATAAAAAGACATCAAAGCAGGTATAACGCACACAACAGGCAGAACAAGAATCTTCGACTTCGACTATATTGACACTGTAACTTTGCATTCTAGCATCCGACATGCCTATAGTTATAGCAGATACGATCGCACTGACCATATAGGACGACTTCAAAGGACATATAACGAGAACGATAAGCAAGTTAAGATACTTCGACAACATCAGTTTGCAAACTGTATCTCTGTATTCTGTCATCTCACATAGATACCTCTGGAGCATATATGTTCGCAACGATCATATGAAACGACATCGATGCGAGTATAACGCACACAACAGGCAGAACAAGAAACTTCGACTCCGACTATGTTCACACTGTAACTCCGCATTCTAGCATCTGACATGCCTGGAGCTTTGAAGGACATATAACGAGAACAATAGGCAAGTGGAGGTAGTTCGACAACATCAGTCCACACACCGTTTCTCTGTATTCTATCATCACACATAGATACCTCTGGAGCATATGAGTTCTCAACAATCATATAAGACGACATCGAAGCGGGTATAACGCACACAATAGGCAGAACGAGTAACTCCGACTTCGACTGTGTTTACACTGTAACTTTGCATTCTAACATCTGACATGCCTACAGTTATGGCAAATTCGATCGCACTGACCATATAAGACGACTTTGAAGGACTCATGAAGAGAACAAGAAGCGAGTGAAGATACTTCGAAAACTTCTATCCGCACACTGTATCTCTGTATTCTATCATCTTACATGGATACCTTTGGAGAATATCAGTTCGCAACGATCATATGAGACGACATCGAAGCGGGTATAACGCATACAACAGGCAGAACAAGAAACTCCGACTCCGACTATGTTCACACTGTACCTCTGCATTCTAGCATCTGACATGCCTAGAGCTATAGTAAATACGATCGCACTGATCATATAAGAGGACTTCGAAGGACATATTACGAGAACATCAGGCAAGTGAGGATACTTCGATAACATTAGTCTGCACACTGTTTCTCTGTATTTCATCATCTCACATGGATACTGTTTTGTTTTCACCATCATAAATTCATAGTTGTATTGTGTTGTAATTGTTAGTTGATAATATTCATTCTTAATGTTATTTTAATACTATTTACTAAACTCATCCTCCCTGTATGTCTGCTTTCGCGAGTCCGAGAGTTTAATGTTAAGGCCGCCGCGAGCGCCCCCTGAACTTTTTGGGTATAACAAGTGAAAAGGACAGACGATTTTTGACTTCTAAAGCTACCGCAACCACGTTTTGTTGTTGTCGAATCAATCAATTTGACTCTCATGTTTTCCCACTGATCTTGATATATTCAGATCAACTTTCATCTCATCATTGATCTTATGATCTAACAATTCAGTGATTTCCCACTAATCTTAGTTAAGTGATTTGGCGCGTATTTCAGTGACGTTTAACAGGACAAATTAACAGGACAAATTAGGTGCGTGTTACCGAACTATCCTGTGCTTCTGCTTTACCGCCGGCCGGCTGCAGTTACGTGTGCTTACGTCGTTGGAAGAAAACTCGGTAAGAACATCAAACTCTCACGCACAACGCATACATCAAAAGCAGTCTACTCAAAGTCAAGTGAATCTATTCCCGCTTATAGTCGGGGCTAGATTCCAAAAAAAGCTCTCCGTTACAATCCTAGAAGCATTTCATGTAACAATTGGATAAATGACGTTTACTCCCTGTTTCGACCCCGCTGAATCCGAAAATACCGTTTATCAAGTCGAAATTCCAACCGGAAGTGGGATATTCAAGATGGCGTCCAAAATAACCCTAAAATCTAATTATTTTCTACTTTTGGTCAGTCATACGACTGAGATGTCGATTTCTATGTTTTCGGGGGTGTGGAACATGATGAGACACTTAAAAAATAATTTGGAGCATCAAAAGTTCATCAAATGATCAAATTTTGACAAAATAGGCCAAAATTGAGAAAAAAACTTGAAAACGTGTTCCATATGTTTTCATATGTTTTGGAGGGCGCTGAATGCGTATTCGCCCTCTAAAAATAATTTGGTACATTCAACGTTCATTCAATTCTAACATTTAAATGCTCTTCATAATATGGGGGGATTGTTCGTTCAATAAACTGACTGAAAATGTTCTATGGCGCGCGACTATCGTACATAATTCTCCCACAGCGTTTCCTTTCTGCCTTTCTTCTACACATCACCTTTCAAAATTTGGCGCCATGCAGTGTCTGCAACAGCGTTTTCGAGAAGGCGGTGAGTCAGGTGCCGGTGATTCCCCGGAATATAGTGCTATGAAACAAACAGTATTTCCATATACTTCTACAAGTTTCAGTGCTCCAAGGTATGTACAAAAAGTGATTAGGGGTGCAAAGTGATATTCATGTGGCATTAAAAATAGTACTTCGACGGATGCACATACGACAATATATGACTAGCCCAGGAGTTTGAGGTTAGGTTCCCATATGGATGTTTAAAGGGCAAAAATATTGCTTTCTTTTTAGGTTTTGATGTAACTTTATTCAGGATGAACGACAACAATTCAGAAGAACCGTCTGTAGTTAACAGCAATTTGTGCCTTATTTGCCAGACAAAGAGAGGTAAAGATGATCAAAAACATCTTTCGAAGTTGTCCAGTCAGGGTGCAACCAAGCTGGTAGAATGTGTCGAACAACGCAAAACAGCCCACGATTGTCAATTCAGTGGTGCTATACTCAGGATTTTACAAAATATACGGGGTCCCGCATGTGAAAATAACTTCGTGACTCATAACAATTGTTATGCAACATTTACTGCAAGAAGAAATATCGAAACGCTCCAACAGAAAAACGACTCAAATATGGACAAGGCGGCCAAAACAGATGCTATGCCTCAGAAAGTAACAAGATCTAAATCCTTGAAATTTGATAAACTCAAATGTATAGTGTGCCAGCAAGACTCTAAAGAGCATCTACGCTTAGTGATGTCAACAAATATGCACATGAAGCTAACAGAGCTCTCCAAATATGACTACAAGCTGAATATTAAAGTGAATGCAGTTGGTGATTTGATTGCCGCAGATGCCATGTATCATAGCACGTGTCTTGTCAGGCTTGGCAGAGTGAAAGATGCGATGGATGCGGCGACAAAAAATGAGGACCGGAGAAACATGCTACCATTTTGGCAACTTTGTAAGGAACTTCGAGTTGCTGCTTCTCTCGAAAAGGTTAGTACCAGTGTTCGTGAAGGACAATCGGAATTTAAAAGTAGCGTCACACTATTGTACACAATAATTTCCATTTCTAGATATTGAAATTGGACGATGTATGGCAGAGGTACGTCAATCTAGCAAAGAGCTTAGACGTTGACATCCCAGTTTCATTTGAGTCTCGGCGAAGTTCTTTTAAAACTAAGCTGGAAGAGGAATTGGGAGGAATTTACCAGTTTTTCCAACCTTTAAACAGAGACGTACACGAGAGACAAATGTTGCTCATTCCCGTACCAGTAGGTAAAAAGGCAGCTACTGAAAACTCCTCGAACGTGGATGATGACTTTGATTTACCTTCGCACGAGCCTGATGATTTTTTCCGTACTATCGTACACTGTGCTCTGAAAGTAAGAGGAGATTTGATGGCCTTGCCGGGTCATTGTAGTTTCGAGATTTCCCAAGGTGCTGTAGTAAAAATAATTCCTGATTCCTTGCACCTGTTTTTGGGTGTCCTCATACAAGGTGAAGAGGTTTTAGATTCGATAGGTGATGTGGCAGACGCCGAGGACAGGGACGAAGCCGGAATCACTGAAGCAGAAAGAAGTGGGTAAAACAACGCTGCCCTTTCTATAGCACAGGATATTGTGTATGCTGTAAGTAATAGAAAAATACTCACCCCCAAACACATCAATCTGGGCCTAACTTTACATCATGCTACACGGAGTTAACAATTAGTGAACCTATTCCATGCTGCTGGACATATTATCAGCTACCGCAATGTCCTACAAGCCGACACAAGTTTGGCAACTGTCACACTGCAGAAGTTTGACAAAGAAACTGGAGCAGTGACTCCACCAAATTTTAAACATATGTCAGAATTCGGGGATAATACTGTTCCGGTCCTCCATGATACGGCAGACAATATTAACCTTATGCTTGACAGTCTTGATGGGAAGAAAGTTTTTAATGCGACGCAAATGGTTGCTTTTCAACGAGAGGCTGAGCAAACTACTGAGGTTCTCAGCACTATGACATTATCGAAGTCCACAACCTTACAAGTACCACCTGAATTGAACGAGTTGTGTAGTGTTGGAACGTTCGCCAGACCAGAGCCACACTTTTTGCATCCTGTGGAAGTTGCATCATTCACTACTAATGATCCTTTGGACTTCACTAAAATGAGTAATCATGTGCTCAAGTCCAGAACAGAGGATATAACTTTTTTGGTATCTAGAATGGAAGCAGACAAGAAAGTTGGATGGACAGAGTTCAACAAAAAGCAAACGTCTGTTGAACGAGAACCCTCTGCTGTTGGTTTCATGCCTTTATTCGATTAACTTAACTTTGTATTTGAATATATGTTCAGATTGAGACACCGTTCAGTTTCGTATTTGGTATCTAATTATTATTATACTGGGGCTTACATTACATGATCAAATCAATATATAACATTCTTCCACCCGATATCAAAATACATAAATATAAATATAACTAATTCTCTGCATACAATTTGCATAACTTGCTGACTGGTCTTCTGATAACTCCATTGATTGTTTTGATATCAACAACTCGGACCGTCCCATCTTCTCCTGGGTACACTGCTACAACTCTGCCTCTATTCCAACAGTTCCTCGGTCCATTATTGTCAACAATCAATACTAGATCGTCTACTTCCAAATTTTCTTTCTTGTACTGTCTCTTCCCTCTTCTGTTCAGTGTTGGTATGTACTCACGTACCCATCTTCTCCAGAACTGGTCGGCCATCGTTTGAGCGATTTGCCATTGCTTTCTCAAATTCTTCTTTTCTTCACATCCTAACGAAGGTGAACCAGATGAACTACCAATGAGGAAATGATTTGGGGTCAAACATTCTAAATCCGTGGGATCAGTTGATGCATAAGTTAGTGGTCGACAATTTATAATGTGTTCAATTTCACATAATAGGGTATTCAACGTCTCTTCTTTTGGAACTGCTTCTTTCAAAATTATTTTCAAGTTGTTCTTCACTATTCGAATCATCCTTTCCCAACATCCACCGAAATTGGGCGCAGCTGGCGGTATAAAGTGCCACTTCAAATTTGTTAAAGACATCTCACGAATGATTTTCTTCTGATCTAAATTGTCTAATGCTTGTTTTATCTCTTTCTCTGCTCCCTTCAGGTTCGTTCCGTTATCTGAGAACATATTTGCTGGACATCCCCTTCTTGCTGCCATTCTCTTCACAGCCATAATTGTATTTCAATCTTCTCAGAGCACTGAATTTACTTTGTGGCAAACTAATATTTTTACTCTTCCAAAGTAATCCTGTCTCCCATCTATTTTCAGTTATTTTTCTTGTTGTATTTTTCAAGATTTCATCAACTAACGAATTTTCGACATAATTTTTATTTTCAATATTTTTAATACCTAGTGCTTCTAACGAAAATGTTTCTTTTACTAATTCTTGTAGATATGAATCACTATCCAAATGTCCTTTTTGAATCTGATTTATATTGAATGTGAAATCATCTACTCTGTTTCCCATTGGAACATTTCCGTGAACTACCCATCCAAGCCAGGTTCTAGAGATAGCTGGACCATTCCAAGAATCTGCAATTATTTCTCTTCCCACAATCAAAGGCCAATTGTCTTGACCTATGAGTATGGTAGGTTTTGCATATCTCAAGTTCTCAATATTGATGTTAGACATGAATCTGTAATTCTTCTTAAGATTATCCATATTTATTGACTGGGTAGGTAATTCCAAATTTTTCATTGTTCTAGCATTTCTTATAACAAAACTTTTACCTGTACCGTTTCCTTCAATTCTTACCGATATTTTCCTTGATTCTCTTTCCAACTTGGTGGAGTCATTCGTCCATTTTATCTCAAGTGGTTCTACTTCTAGACATAGGGGAGGTATGTAGCAGCCTGGTATATAAATTAAATTTAATATTTTGTAACGTTGCCATGTAACTCGCCCAAGTTGATCATTCAATAAATTGTCAGTAAATACTCGTGTATTGTCATTTCAAATAATATAGAAATTGGTAATATTTCTATAAATTAATATGTAATATATCGATTAATATTATAACTCGGAGTATATGCTTGTGAAGACTTTTATTAAAATATGACAACACTATGACAATTGTTATATAATAAAACATACCAAGTGATCAACAATTATATCAAATCTGCAACGATATCACACTCCTCCATCCATAAGATTTTATTATATAATTCAAATTCATAAATTAAGACGGTCAGGTTTCTTAATTTGTCTCTTAGATCTATTCTCAATACTGGGCGAAGATACCGTGATCTGCGGATTTTTATTCGAACTAATTTTTTCGATTCCTTTAGCATTCATTACTACAGAATTATCATCGTTTGATGTATATGTTATGCAATTTTCAGGAACTTTTGCATCCGAGTCATAAAATCTACCAACTTTGATTATTTGATCAAGATGTCTCCTCCACTCTAATCTTTCATCATCCAATAATCTACACAAATAAGTTTCTGAACCTAATTTTGAAACAATGACTGCTTTTGTCCATGAGGATTTATATTGGTTTCTATAATCTTTGACATATACTATCTCTCCCTCTTCAAAAAAAATCATTCTTTCGCCATGATGATACTTAATCTGTCGTTCTCTAGCTTTTTCAGAAACTGGACGAGTTAAAAAATCCAACCGAGTTTTGATTTTCCGCGAAAACATCAATTTTGACGGCGCCTCACCAGTCACCGTATGTGGTGTATTTCTATATGAAAATAGATACTTGCTTATTAAAGTGGACATATCAAAATGATTTTTATTATCAGTCAATAATTTATTCATGCCATTTTTGAATGATTTCACACTGTTTTCAGCAGCACCATTTGTTGCTGGGTGATAAGGTGGGGAAGTGATATGTGCAATACCATTAACTGTACAAAAATTTTCAAATTCTGCAGAGACCAACGAGGAACCGTTATCCGAAACTATAGTATTTGGAAGACCATATCTTGAAAAACAATCTCTTAATTTTTCAATTACTGTTTTCGAATCAGTTTTTATCATTTCATAAATTTCAGGCCACTTCGAGAAGGAATCCGTGATAATGAAATAAGTTTTTCCTCGAAAAGGACCCAAAAAATCAACATGAATGCGATCAAATACATGTTTCCCATCATTGAATTTGATCAAAACCGATTTATTTGGTGTTTTAGAATGAACCATACAAGAATTACAGTTTTTCACGTGAGTTTCTATTTCCAAATCTAGAGTAGGCCACCAAAAATACTGTCGCGCGAGAGCTTTCATACGAACCATTCCGTTATGAGCACCATGAACCTCGTCTAGCAACTGTTTTCTAAATTTAGCTGGAATCAATACCCTATAACCCCACATGAGCAACCCATTATCTATACTCAACTCTGTCATCCTCCTTGAGTAAGGTTTAAGATCATCGGGCACTACTTCAGGCCAACCATCTCGAACGAATTTATAAACCTTACTCAAGATGATATCAGTTCTCAATTCCTTTATAATATCACAAGACTTTATAGGTATTTGATCTTCAATCAAAAAATTGAAATAATCACAGAATATTTCAGGTGGTTCTGACGATTCAACAGGAAAACGCGATAATCCATCCGCACCTCCATTTTCTTTACCATTAATATGCCTAAAAGTATAATCAAATCCACTCAAAAATATTGCCCATCGTTGTAACCTTCCTGCGGCCATTTGCGGTATTCCCTTTTTTTCTCCAAATAGAGCCAACAACGGTTTATGATCTGAGCACAGAATGAATTTATTACCCATCAAATACTGATAAAATTTACGCACCCCCCAATAAATAGCTAATGCTTCTTTATGAATAACGGAATAATTCACCTCACTCCTATTCAAGATTCGCGAAGCAAAGCTTATAGGTTTCTCAGTTCCATCCTCCGAAACATGTAGTAAAACACAACCTATACCAATCTTGGAAGCATCGCAAATTAATTTCAATGGAGTACACGGATCAAAATGAGCCAAGCTTTGTTCTGCAGATATCTGCCTTTTCGAATTCAAAAATGCTTGCTCACAGTCGTCAGTCCATTTGAACTCATTACCTTTTCTCAACAGTTTATATAAAGGTCCCAGTACTGTTGACAAATTTTCAACAAATTTCCCATAATAGTTAATCATACCAATAAACGCTTTTACCTGTGAAACATCCGTTGGGCGTGGACAGTCTACCATCGCTCGGGTTTTTTCAGGATCCTTGTGTAAGCCACTTTTATCAATGATATGACCTAAATATTTAATCTGCGACTGGAAAAATTGACATTTCTTTAGGTTCAAACGCAATCCCGCTTTCAAAAATCTTTCAAAAACATATTCTAAATTCCTCAAATGATCTGCTCTATCATGACCCGTTATTACTATATCGTCCATGAAATTTATTACACCCTGTAATCCCTGTAAAATTTTTTCCATAGTTTTCTGAAATATAGCACATGCTGGCTTGGTACCGAATGGAAGTCGATTCAATTGATAGATACCCCTGTGCGTACTCCAACATAATAATTTTTTTGTTTCGTCCGTTAATTCCAGTTGGTTATAAGCATTGAGTAAATCTAACTTAGTATATCTCTCTCCACCTTGCAAAGCCGCGAAAAGCTCTTCTATTCTTGGAAGTGGATGTTTGAAATCATGAACAAACTTATTAATTGTCACTTTGTAATCAGCACAAATTCTCAACTTCCCCGTTTCTTTCACCACAGGAACAAGTGGAGTGCCCCATTCAGAATTATCAACCAATGTGATTACTCCATTCTTCTCTAGCTCGTCCAACTCTTTGTTAATAGCATCTTTGAAAGAAAAAGGAATTGGGCGTGGCTTACAAAATATAGGCTTAACGTCCGGATCAACCTTCAGCTCAACTTTATCATACTTGTATAAACCTAACTCCACTTTGAACAAATCTTTATATTTTTCCAATAATGAGTCCAACACCGTGTCACACTCGATATTGTTAATTTCAGGAGATTTAAAACTGTTGAAACTGAAATTGAAAATGCCCATAAGATCACGACCTAATAATGGTGTCGAACCATTCTCGATTACAATCAACCTACATTTGTCTTTGATAATGTCATTGTACTGAAGAGATACAAATATTTCTCCCTATTTGTATCAGACAATAAATTTTAGATTTTTTATTCGATTAACTTAACTTTGTATTTGAATATATGTTCAGATTGAGACACCGTTCAGTTTCGTATTTGGTATCTAATTATTATTATACTGGGGCTTACATTACATGATCAAATCAATATATAACATTCTTCCACCCGATATCAAAATACATAAATATAAATATAACTAATTCTCTGCATACAATTTGCATAACTTGCTGACTGGTCTTCTGATAACTCCATTGATTGTTTTGATATCAACAACTCGGACCGTCCCATCTTCTCCTGGGTACACTGCTACAACTCTGCCTCTATTCCAACAGTTCCTCGGTCCATTATTGTCAACAATCAATACTAGATCGTCTACTTCCAAATTTTCTTTCTTGTACTGTCTCTTCCCTCTTCTGTTCAGTGTTGGTATGTACTCACGTACCCATCTTCTCCAGAACTGGTCGGCCATCGTTTGAGCGATTTGCCATTGCTTTCTCAAATTCTTCTTTTCTTCACATCCTAACGAAGGTGAACCAGATGAACTACCAATGAGGAAATGATTTGGGGTCAAACATTCTAAATCCGTGGGATCAGTTGATGCATAAGTTAGTGGTCGACAATTTATAATGTGTTCAATTTCACATAATAGGGTATTCAACGTCTCTTCTTTTGGAACTGCTTCTTTCAAAATTATTTTCAAGTTGTTCTTCACTATTCGAATCATCCTTTCCCAACATCCACCGAAATTGGGCGCAGCTGGCGGTATAAAGTGCCACTTCAAATTTGTTAAAGACATCTCACGAATGATTTTCTTCTGATCTAAATTGTCTAATGCTTGTTTTATCTCTTTCTCTGCTCCCTTCAGGTTCGTTCCGTTATCTGAGAACATATTTGCTGGACATCCCCTTCTTGCTGCCATTCTCTTCACAGCCATAATTGTAGAGTCCGTTTCAAGAGTGGATGCAATCTCAATATGAACAGCTCTTGTTGCTAGACAAGTGAATAATACTCCGTATCTTTTCTCTCTCCTCCTTCCAATTTTTACCATCATGGGTCCAAAATAGTCGACACCGCAGTTCGTAAATGGTTGTAAGAATCCGGTAAGTCTTGATGCGGGTAAGTCTCCCATATCTGGAACATGTGGTAAAGATTTTCTGTTCATACAAAACAAACATTTCGAAAAAATTGATTTTACTGCTTGTCTTAATTGTGGAATCCAATATTTTCCTCTGACTTCATTTATTACTAATTCTAGTCCCTGATGATTAAATTTTCTGTGATAATAGTCCAAAAGAAGTTCTGTATATTTATGTTTTCGCTTCAATAAAATTGGGTTTTTTCTATCATCTTCCAAATTTGGAGCATGTTTCAATCTTCCTCTGATTCTCAAAAGTTCGTCTTCATCAAGATAGGGCATGAGTTGGTAAATGTTACTATTTCTCGAAATTTCTATGCCAGATTTCAAATCTTCATATTCACTTCCAAACATTTCTTGTTGCGTCATTTTAGTCAAAAGTTTTTCAGCATTCCAAATTTCTTCCGGATAGAGTTCTGTTTCGATTTTTTCAGTTTTCTTGCAATTCCTAATGAACCTCAATATCCAAGCCGTGGTTCGTATCACTTTCATCCAATTCGAGAATCTATGAACGTCTGGTAAAGCACCTTTAATTTCTTGAATCAAACAAACATATTTTCTTTTTGATTTCAGTTCAATAAGACATTCTGATGTCGAAAAATTAGCTTTAGGCCAGAATTCCTTACCCAATTTTAGAAATTCGGGTCCAGTGAACCAACTTTCATCATTGTAATTCTTGTTTTTCTTGGTCAATTTGTCAGCTATATTTTGTTTTGTATCTACCCAGTGCCAGTTTTCTCTATCAGTTTTTTCCAATATTTCTTCTATCCTCAGTGAAACAAATTTATTGTAATTTCTAGTATCTGATGACCATAGCCATAAGAGTACTGTTTTTGAATCACTCCAGAAAAAGGTTTCTTTAATTTCCAAACTATGTTCCTTGATTATCATTGTTTTCAATCTGGCAGCCAGCAAAGCTGCAAGCAATTCCATTCTTGGGATACTCAAAGATTTTAAGGGAGCTACTCTTGCTTTTGCCGTAACGAATGATAATTTCCAACAATTTTTTTGCAATTATCATTCGTTACGGCAAAAGCAAGAGTAGCTCCCTTAAAATCTTTGAGTATCCCAAGAATGGAATTGCTTGCAGCTTTGCTGGCTGCGATTAACTTAACTTTGTATTTGAATATATGTTCAGATTGAGACACCGTTCAGTTTCGTATTTGGTATCTAATTATTATTATACTGGGGCTTACATTACATGATCAAATCAATATATAACAATGCCAATTATTTTGAATCCAGCCCATGAAATAGAAACTCTCACCACTGTTCTCCAAAGATGTATTGCTCTTGGAAATAGTCTAGGCTACAAGTATATTAGTCTTACTGCAGACCAGCAACTCTATTGCAAGTTGTTAGAATTGCGATGGAGTTCACCGGAATTCAAAGAACGGATCATACTGAGAATGGGTGGCCTCCATATAGCCATGAACTTTCTCCACACAATAGGGCAGCATATGGCTGGTAGTGGCCTTTCAGAAATTTGGTTGGAAAGCGGAATTCTCGCTGAGGGGTCAGCTACAAAAGTGCTAGAAGGTAAGGCCTATGCAAAGGCTATGCGAGCACACAAACTGACTTTGCAGGCGTTGTGGCGAATACTTTATCCACAAATTCTTGCTTACCTCGAGGACCACCACTTTGAAGATGAAGAAGAGTTGAGACTTATTTTTGATAACCCAGAATATCTTCGAGATTACCTGCAGTCTTCCGAAGTTCTTTCCCACATAACCGACTTCTTAAAGCAGCGTTGCGAAGAAGACAAGAATTTTGCACTTTGGTGGAGTTATATGGACATGGTCTTCATCCTTCTTATGTTGACTCGGGGAATACGAGACGGCGATTGGGACTGTTACCGTCATGCTATTCCAGAAATAATTCCGTACACAGCTCTGTACGACCACGGGAATTATCTGAAGTCAATGACTGCATACAACATTGAAATGCACCAATTACCCCCCGAGGTAGAGTCGCAGTTTCGTTCAGGTGAATTCGGAGTTGCTATGTCCAGTCAGAAGTTCTCACAAGTTGATCCCGACCACGCTCAGGAATGGCTTGTTGGCACTTGCAAAGATTTTTCTGGCGGTATTGTAGGGATAACTGAAGATGTGCGAACTTTGCAGTGTTGGGCTTTGTCTCTGCATTGGCGAAGTGAGATTGCTGCAAACACCTACGCCTCATATGGCATACAGAAAAAGGACACTTTTAAGGAAGAAGGAAATTCCCGTCGCACGAGAGATATCTCTGATGAAGATGCTTTACTACGTACAATGGAAACAATGGAGCTGCTGTCTCCTGAAGTATCCGAAGTTGTATGTAACATCGCTACGAAAGATAGAGGCACAAGTAAAATATCAGAAGCTCTTCTCTGTGCCAAGAAACGTGGAAATGAACTCGTTCATGCGTTTGTTTCACAACGACTCATAAAGGACCCTGAAACTGGAAAGCCAAAATTAAGTTACTATGCAACCGTGCCAAAAAATAAGTCACCAACTTTACAATACCTTCACAAAGAAAAATCGGCCGCGGGTTCCACAGAATTGAAGAAGGATGGCCGAGACTTTCTCCACACTCTTGTAGTAGCTTATGATGCAGGTAGAAAAGTAGACTTGAATTCTATTCTGAGACATGAGCTTTGCAATGTTCCTATATCGTTGGCTCTTATGAATGGCGACTTAAGACCAGCTGAAAAGGCCTCCATTGTAAAGGAAATAACTAAAAATATAGACTGCCCGAGTTCAATAGCAATCAACAAAAATTCTGCTTGTCTTATAATAGATGGGATGGCATTCGTTCAAGCACTGGTGAGAACACTCACAGGGAAATACTTCAGTGATATTGCATGTGCTTTCAACAAGAGAATTGAAGCCTACAGTTCCCAGTATGATGAAGTTCATGTGGTATTTGATCGATACCGCTATCTTTCTGTGAAGGCAGATACAAGAAAACACAGAGGAAAGGGTTTTGCTCCTGTACGAAGAGTAATCAAGAACGAGGGAGTTCCCTTACCTAAGAATTGGAGCAGCTTCCTCGCCCTGTCAGAAAACAAGGCTGACCTCGCGCGCTTCCTGAGCGAAGAAGCCATGAAGTATGACTTTGGCAGCATGGAAGTCATTGTGGCTGGTGGTTTTGTGGATGAGACGCATGCCGAGTCGAACAAAGGAAGATACCTAAAACACTTATTCTCAAACCATGAAGAGGCTGATACCAGGATGGTGCTCCATGCGGTAAAAACCGAAAGAGAGGCTATTGTTGTTTCTGTTAGAGATACCGATGTGATTTTATTATTCATCTATCACTTTGAAAAAATGAAATGCAAGGAATGCTGGGTGATGTGTGGTACTTTCCGAGACAGAAAGTATATTCCAATCCACGAACTATGTAAGAAGCTCACACCACAACAGATCAAAAACCTGATGGCTTTCCACGCAATCACCGGATGTGATACTACATCTAAGTTAGCGTCAGTCACGAGAACAGGACGGTGGAAGCAGTACATGGAAGAAAACTACTGTAAGCTTCTCAGTCAGCTTGGAAAAACTCCTGATCTGGCCCCCGAGGATCTCCGTTCAGTTGAACAGTTTGTGGTCCAAGCTTTATACAAGGTTTGTTGCATCCCTTCTCTAAGATACATGGTGGATAAAAACTGTTAGCCGTTTCAATAGTAATACCATTTTTATTTCAGGTTGGACCGGACATTACAACGGCAGACGCAGCCCGTGTTGCAATTTTTGGGACAGTGCGAATGCTAGAGTTTTTGCCACCTACCACTGATGCCCTCCGTCAACACATTCTTAGGTGCCACTTTCAGGTAAAATTGACAAGAAAAAAACAACAAAACAGAAAAAATCGAGAGATTTTCATTTAATTATGTTTTTTTTTTCAGGTACTAGTGTGGATTAACGCCCATGATCAGAATCCTGATTTACCAGACCCGATTAAATGCGGCTGGAAAATTGTTAATGGACGGTATGTCCCAATCTTGATGACTTTGCCACCTATTCCCAAGTCATGTCCCGAATTTGGAGCTTGTGGCTGCAAGGGGATCTGCAGCACGAAGCAGTGTGGGTGCAGGAAGCCGCCGAGGGTGCCGTGCACCAAGATGTGCCAGTGCAAGGCAAAGTGCATGAATGGAGTAGAAGAAGATAAAGAAGACTACTGATAGTGAATTATTCTATTTCAAAATGTAAGGAATAAAGGTTTGGACAATGGTTGAATGCTTTTTTGAGCTCATAAACGTATTAAGCGCCCTCGAAAACGTATGCAAGCATATACAACACGTTTTCACAAGTTTTTTTTTTGTAATTTTTGCCCATTTCGTCCAAATTTGATCATTTGATGAACTTTCAATGCTCCAAATCATTTTTCAAGTGTTCCATCGTGTTCTACACCCCCGAAAACATAGACATCGGCACCTCAGTCGTATGGTTGACCAAAAGTAGAAAATAATTAGATTTTAGGGGTATTTTGGACGCCATCTTGAATATTCCACTTCCGGTTGGAATTTCGACTTGATAAACGGTATTTTTGGATTCAGCGGGGTCGACATAGGGGGTAAACGTCATTTATCCAATTGTTACATGAAATGCTTCTAGGATTTGGATTTTCGCAAAACAAGCCCCGACTATTACAGCGACAAAAGGGATATTCACAAAACATTATTTGGTCCTTCGAGCCGGATTGGCTTATTCATTTCTTTTAATTGATGTTATCAACTGAAATTTACTTCCAAATTCCAAATTCTCATATTCATCCTTAATCATACAGGTCGCTTGAAGATCTTATTATCTATTTCTCGGTGTGTACCTATCTACTGCAGTTTTTTGTTAGCTGCTGGACACAGCTGGCTGATATTTAGCGGTCAGTATTTTTTGTCGCGCAACAAAAAGAATAATAAGAATTCGTTCACCTTTACACTTATTGTTATTGATTTCAAAATTTCTACGGAATTCCCATTCCGAAGGAAATCACTTCGTATACCGGGTGATCCAGCTAACCGATAATAAATGCAATTCAATCTTAATTTGAATTAACTTCCATCTCACTCTCGAACACATTCAGTCTCTTGCACTTTTCGATTAGAATATTTTTCACTTACTGACAGTTGATAGCCTTTATTTATTCCGATTTTCACTGAATAAAAATGGCTGAAAAACTTAGAAAATTGCAAATTCTCAGAAGGTCTGAGATCAATCGCATACATGAATTGCATGATACTGCTACTCGAGCTCAAACTGATGAAAATTCTCATCCCGTTTTCAAAGTCAAATTTGAATTTATTGAAATAACTAAGGACGAGTTTTCCAAAATACATAACTCAAATATATCATTAGTCACAACTGATGCAGAGTTTGATGTTGAAGACGGAATTAGACGCGATTTCGAAAATACATATTACGCAATCAAGGTAATATATCATACTTTATTCGATCTACGATCAGAATCGAATATACCACCCCCTCAACCTAAAAACAATATCTGCCTTCCCAAACTGCAATTATTAACGTTCAATGGAGATATAACAATATTTTCCTCTTTTCTAGATATGTTTGATGCAGTCATACATACCAATTTCAAACTAAGCGATATTGAAAAATTTAATTACCTTTTGTCATCCTTGAAAGGGCCCCCTTTAAATCTCGTCCAAAAACTTCCCATGACATCTGATAACTATAATATCGCTTACGACACGTTAGTGAAGCGATACCAGAATCGAAGATTGATAGCTGCTGCTCATTGGTCAGCTATTGACAATACTCCCAAATTGAATTCAGACAACCCTCAGGATTTACGAAATTTGTTGGATACCTTTGCCGATCATCTGGCCGCCCTCAAACTATTGAAGCTACCTGTAGATTCTTGGGACTTCATTTTAGTTCAAATGCTCTTGAAGCGTATAGACGTTTCAATAGCTACAAAGTTTGAATTGCATCATAGTTCCTCCACCATTCCCAAATACATCGAGTTGACTGATTTCCTAACAAAACATTGTTGTGCACTAGACAATGTCAACTTGAGTCACAACACCCCCGACAATTCCCCTCATTCTGGAGCTTCCTCGTCGTCGAATAATCACTCGAATGGCGCAACTCGCACCCAAGCACTCACAGGCATCTCAACCCGTTCAAATGTTCTACTCCCCACTGCTATTGTAGAAGTTCTGGACAATCGAGGAAACTTTCAACAATTACGAACACTCTTGGATTCTGGATCCCAGAGCAACTTCATCACACACAAATGTGCTAACCGTCTTGGTCTCTCTAAATACCAGTTGAATTTCTCAGTTCAAGGTATTGGACATACAAACACTCTCATCAGTTCTGAAGGAACATCCTGTTTGATAGAACCAATAGGTCGAAGTGCTCCTACGTTCAATTTAGAAACAATCGTTATTCCGAAAATTTGCGGTGATCTTCCCAATATTCCCATCTCGCTGTCATCGGATTCTCAATAGGTCAAAGTGCTCCTACGTTCAATTTAGAAACAATCGTTATTCCGAAAATTTGCGGTGATCTTCTCAATATTCCCATCTCGCTGTCATCGGATTCTCCTTTCAAGAATCTACAATTAGCAGATTCTAGATTCAATATCCCAGGGCCTATTGATCTTTTGATAGGTGCCGACCTATTTCCACATATTGTGCAACCGGGACGCTGCACAGGTGATTCAGAAGACCCTGTGGCCTTGAACTCAGTCTTTGGTTTTATCCTGATGGGTAAAACTTCTACTGAATCAGGTGTCTCTCCTCAAACATTTATTTGTTTCGATTCTACTCTAGAAAATACGCTACAGAAATTTTGGGAGGTAGAAAATGTCCCTAGTATCAATTGCTTATCCCCTGATGACCTCCGCTGCGAACAAATATTTCAAGACACCTCTTATCGAGACGAATCTGGCAGATTTGTCGTATCATTGCCTTTTCGTGATAGCGAACCTTCTTTTCCTGGTAGTAGAAATATTGCTATGTCACGTTTTCTCAGTTTAGAACACCGTTTACTAAGAAACCCCACCCTTTTCAAAGATTATTCGAATTTTATGAAAGAGTACCTAGATCTTGGTCACATGGAACACATAAATCATTCAAACACTGATAGGAGTTTTTATTTCCCTCACCACGCTGTTTTGGAACCGTCAAGCACTACTACCAAACTAAGAGTGGTTTTCAATGCTTCATCCAAGTCTCCTGGTCAAACCTCTCTCAATGAGTGTCTTCTTACAGGCCCAAAACTTCAACGCGATCTTTTGACCATTTTATTACATTTCCGATTGTATCGGTACGTATTCACCGCCGATATAAAGCAAATGTATCGGCAAATTCGCATTCACCCTTCTCACACTGATTATCAGCGTATTTTATGGCGTTTTTCACCCTCAGAACCGATACAAGACTATCGCCTACTCACCGTCACGTATGGATTTTCTTGCGCTCCATACTTGGCAATAAAAACTCTCTTAACCTTAGCTGATCAGGAAAAGAATAATTTTCCTGGGGCAGCAAAAGTTATTTACACTCAAACATATGTCGACGACATTGTCACTGGCGCCTCAACCTTGGAGGATGCTCAATATTTACAAACACAATTAATCACTTTACTAAAGAAGGGTGGCTTGGAGCTCAGAAAATGGGCAGCAAATGACTCACGCCTCCTGGACACTCTTCCCATCTCCCACCTTTGTGACGAAACACTCACACTCAATTTTGAAGCCGACACCCCTCTCAAAATTCTGGGACTACGTTGGAACCCATGTTCGGACATATTTTCCTTCGCGGTTCAATCAATAGATAATACTTGCACAAAACGCAATCTCCTGTCAAATCTTGCCAGAACCTTTGACCCCCTCGGAATTTTGTCTCCCATTACGTTCTTCATTAAATTTCTCATTCAAAGATTGTGGACATTGAATCTAGGATGGGATACTACTCCACCTGATGATATAAGACGTATCTGGGAACAATATACCTCAGAACTTCCTTCTTTGACTGCTTGCGAACTCCCTCGGTTCATGTTGATAGAAGATTCGAGAACGTATGAGGTTCATGGCTTCTGCGATAGTTCAGAGAAGGGCTATTGTGCAGTCATATATTTAGTCCAGGTTTCCCCGACTAATG